CCTAATACACAAGTATGTCCCGTCTAGGCCCTTACGCTCTGCTGAAGACTTACGTCTATCTTCTGTCCGTTCTCCCACCTTTGATGCTTGCCTACAAGACTTCTCCAGGGCTGCACCGTTCCTGTGGAACTCACTTCCCTCCTCTGTTAGACGCTCAGCCAATCTCAACTACTTCAAAAAAAATCATTAAAAACCCACTTCTTCATAAAAGTGTATTAATTAAGCTGTTAATAGCTCCCGACTGATACCTCTCTTGCAACTGTCATTAGTCTACTACTATCCTTACCTTTTCACTGTAACCCACTCCCTCTAGCATGTAAGTTCATTGAGCAGGGCCATCAACCCTTCTGTTCCTGTGTGTCCAACTTGTCTGGTTACAACTACATGTCTGTTCGTCCACCCATTGTAAAGCACTGAGGAATTTGTTGGTGCTATATAAATAATAACATAATAATAATAATTGTTTCAGCATTAATGAAGTGTGATTTGTAAACTATCGGATAATTACAATATTAGAGCAAACTCTGCAAAGTTTAAAGATGAAACACCCCCCCAAAAAATGCATTCACCAAAACAGAAATAGCAATGATACAGTGCTGGATTTAATTAGACATTGCCTGTTTCCCCCAATCTTTTACCCTTCTCTGGCTCTCTTTTCGGATTTGACCCCTAAAGTTTAAATTGTGGAGAAAGTTATGAGGAACCCTCCAAGACTCCATACCCACTACGGCTGTTATGAGTTATGTTGCCAGGAGTGATTTAGCGCTGCGCCACTTGCATTTGCCAAACCTTTTTAGAATGGTTTGACAACTTACCTGGATAACCAAAGCTTCTACACTGCATCTGTTCTTCTCTTGCAGGACAAGCTATATTTTTCTATAGACCTAAGCCTGGTTGCTCATTTGATGCAGTCAGCTAATAAGCATGGTTCTCGATGGCTATGCTTACCTCTCAGGTGTTAACAAGACAAATCCTGGAAGAAGCGTATGTGACTACAGATGCCTGGCAGGACCCAGGTAAGTTGTTAAGAACAAGCCAAGTCAAATACCAGAAAATATAATATAATTAATACAATATTAATAATGGATGCAATTCTTGATATCACAAGGAAGATCAAAATTTGTTCCTGTGTGTATGGATGTATCACTATGTGTGTTTTTATCTGTATGTAACTGTGTCTGCAAGTGTGTGTGTCGGTATGTGTAACACTCAGGCACAAAGTGTCAGTACATATGCATGTCTCTGTATACAAGTTTGCTTCGTGACACAATGTTCATTGTTGTGACTTTTTTCCCACACCATTCATTTTTATGATCATTCCTTCAATTCCATATAGTTGGTATATGTCCCCTCATTGAAACTTTGAAAACAAAATGTTGTTTAATTGATGTGATTATTAACTAATAATATTATTAACCATTTGTTTATTTATATGTTAAATACTCTGTTTTCTAAGAATATTATCCCTCAAAAAATAACCCAAAACCCCCACCCCCCATTAATTCGAAGCCATAAATTATAATTAAGTAGTAAATTAGTACTTCAAGCCTCTAAGGTGCAAGGCGGTATCTAGCAGAGAATCATTGCAAATATATAGCATTTTGTTTTCTGCTGCAACCAACTTTATTGGTGACATAACATGTCAATGAGAATATCATGGCATGGACATTTGCTATTCACATGTAAACTAACAAAAAACCAAATCATTCAGTGTCATATTAAACAATCACGACAATCAACATACTTCAGTATCATCTTGACTATTTTTTTATTTATTTTTGCATGTTGTCAGATATATTTATCCTGAAACTGTAAAAAGCAATTGCACCATTCCTCTTCCTACACAACAGAGAAAGACTCTAGGAAATGTACAACTATTAGGAAGGATTCCCAGAACTTACTCTACAAGGCTGGTTGTTGGAAAAAGCCCCCTTCTTTATGAGTTATTGGGAGAAGGGAGCACATGTACTACAGAGCATGACTGGTTCAGTAGATGTGAAATTAGTAACTGACTAATGGCAGATCATTCAGTATTTTTATTCCCTGGAGAAGGGGAATTTCTGGCAGGAGGTTTACTGCGGCTGGAGCCACGCATGTGGTCCTGTAATATAATTGAGACAACGCCTCTTAGACTTGTCATATCTGAGTTAGTTATACAGCACCGTGAGGTGTGTGGGTATTAAGGTAAGTGCAGGGATTTAAAGCAATGGGGAGAAGGATAAATACATCAAGGCATGGGGTTAATGCAGCAAGTGTAGTGTTTATAAAGATAAGTTCACAATATTTTAATATATTTTAATATTTGGTATCACAATGTGATTTGCAAAATACATTAGGGTTGATTGGACTTGGCATGTTATATGGTCATCATTTTTCCTCTTGGGCTGAAACCTCTTGTCTTTTTGCCACCTAGCAATGCACTTGCAGCAGAGATGCCATGATTGTGTGATGGCTCATGCGCACATACTCACTAATCCTCTCATGTAAATGAATAAAAGGGCAGGAATTGAAGGGGATATAGCAGAAAGAGGTGCAAGTCCCCGAGTAAACTTGCAAAAGAGGACATTCAGAGATAAGCATTTTATATCAATATTATTAATATTAATACTATTAGTATATTAAATGTATATTTTCCACCCATCATGAATAATATAATGTAATGTCCTTTTAACACCCACGAAGACTAGCAGAGACTAGCATTAAAGGGACACTGTAGGCACCCAGACCACTTCAGCTCCATGAAGTGGTCTGGGTGCTGTGTCCTTTTTGCATTTAGTGCTGCAATGTTAAACGAATGTTTACATTGCAGCTCTAAGTCTGCCCTCTGTGGCTGTCTAACAGACGTCCACTGGGGGCGCTTCTGGAATCCAAACAGACTCTTGGTCCGTTATCTGACGCTGGACGTCCTCACGGACCTCCAGTGTCAGATTTTCCCCATAGGAAAGGGGCCCCGAGGGAGGGGGGCACTACAGGAGCCTATAGTGCCAAGAAAATTGGATTGTTTTCCTGGCACTATAGGATCCATTTAAGTAAAATGAAAATTGCAGGGAATTCAAAGTGAATTTCCATGTGAAAGCCAAAATAGCCAAACTGAAAACAAATCTGACTGAGATAATTTTTCAAGTTCATATTAATTCACATAGAATTATATGCAATTCTCACATTAGTGAATAACCACGTAGGTCTTATCAAAGGAATAGTGTCAAAAACATTGAATCATGTGACCTGAAGTAAAAATGACAGCATGTGACGATGCAAGCTGGTAATACCATCACTGCTTTGCCTAGAAAGAAGGAAATAGCAATAAATGAATGTTAAGAGTTCGCTCCCCTTTTAATAGTTGTCTAAAATGTCCATTGTAGGTGACGTCAGCAATTCATGTTTTACAGCATGCACTAAGTTACATTTATAAAAATGAGTCACAAATAACTTCTTTGTGAGAAGTGTTGATTTTTTTTTTAATTGATTGGCAAACCAGAAAATGCAACACAATTAGTGCTTTGAAAACATGTTCCTGTGCTTGGCCAAATCTCTCCAAGTTTTTCCTTTTCACCTAATAACAGAAAAAATCTTCGGTTTATCTCAGTATGTTGTTTTTAAAATAAATAAATTCTTATTTTCAAATATTTCTGTTTCTCTATTGAAATTAAAACACTGAGCTCTATTTGGACACAAATATTGAAATCATTGTAAAAATTGACACAGCACTCTGTAGTGGTTATTGTGCCGCAGTGCTCTGGTGCTCCCCCTTAGTATATGTAGTCAAAACATTTAGTAATGGTTTAACCTCTTACCTGGGATCCTCTAGGCTTAGCTCATTGAAGAGAACTTTCCGCTGAGACAAGGAAGCAGCGCCCGGCGGACCCTAAGTAAGAAATCACGAAATGGTTTGACTACTTTCATTGGGAAAGCACCAGGGTACTCTTGACACCATAACCATAACAAAACTATGTAGTGGTTATGGTGCTTTTCAGCCTTAAAGCCTTCCGACAAATAAACTGTTTATTCTACTACATTACCACATTAAATGAATACTGAATGCATTGTGGTAAATTTCTAACTAACCTCCAAAAACTCAAGGGCTTCTGGGATTTTTAGTCTCATGGTCAGTTTATTGCTTCAGGAAGCTAATATTTGAACTACAACTCCCATAAAACCAAGCCATACCACCACCTACACATGCATTATTTTTGGAGTATAGAGGAAAAATAATAAAGTTAAAAGACTGAGGTCCAGTTTTCTTTTCTTTTTCTTTTTTAATTAAACGCAGTGTGTATTACAGCCTCCTTTGCATGGATACCCTGTCTGACATGGACAGTCTCAAAGATCAGCAGATTGATTATCTGCCCATAGCTTCAAGTGAGAAAACATGCAGGAGAATGTATCCACTACACCGAAAATTCCAAGTGATAGCAAAATGGCGGCACTGAGGTTAAAAATCCCAAACTGTGGCTATATTAAATGGATGTAATGTCTCCAGATTGGCTGAGTTTGCCCTAGATATTTGGATTTAATTTTACAATGTAGTTTCTTTATTGCTCTCAGGACGGTAGCAATCTGAAATCTGGATGGCAAAAATCCGGCTATGGTAGTTTTGTAGAATTTTCTAACATCTGACATTCAGATTTCAATTCATTGCTATTCAGAATTTACTGACTAAACCCCTATGCATTGCCAGACGCTATCTGATTTTTAAACCTATGCATCTTCATTTACACACTCATTAACTTCTATTCAGGGGTTAATTAGATTTACATTAATTAACACTTCAGTTGCCGGAATACTAGTAAAAATAAAATGAAACAATTAATTGTGTTCCATCCTTACTTTCCCTAATAATGTCAGTCCCAGCACACTGTATTTCAGACTGAGGACAATATTTGGGGGGTGGCTCCCAACACAGCCTACTCCCCTCCGCCTGCTGACACCCACACAATGCTTCTCATTGGCTCCGGCCCCCAGGAGACTTCCCTCAGCGTCCAACCCCGGAATAAAGCGGGATCCACCCTGCCACAGGTAGCATCCTATGCTGCACTCACTACTCAGTCACCGTGTCCGCTCAGCCCGGGATCTCCGCCGCTCTCTGCGCTCTATCTCCCCCGCTCCGCTCCATTCTCTCCGCTCTGCTCCGGCCGCACAGCGGGATCTATGGCCACCACGGTGCTGACCATGAGTGCCAGGCTGGGGCGCCTGGAGGAGCCGGTCTTCACCCAGCTCAAGCCTGTCCACGGCGGGCACCATGCCTCGAGAGGGGACCCTGCTGCCGGGGGAGCTCTGTACGGGGACGATCTCAAGAGCTCCAGGATGCTGACCGATGATATAGTGCAGGTAAAGGCTACTGGGGCAGCTAGCCGGAGAGGGATGGCATGATGGGGGCATGGGATAGGCATACAAACTACTCATGGGTAGATAGTGGGCAACGTACAGTACCCCACTGGAACTCCTAGAGTTAATACATTCTAAACATTCGAAGCAGTGATAATTTTGTATTGGTAATGGGGGTGTACCAGTCAGGACTAGGAGGTGAAACAGTGATAATAATAATAATTCCTATCATTAATGGGGTGTACCAGTCAGGACTAGGAGGTGATGGTGTACATTTAGGGTCCTGGTGTCAGTATAGATAGCTGGCTACTAGCAGCTGTCTCCTCGCCCCCTCATGCTCACTGCTGCAGAACAGAAATAAAGCGTGCAGGGAACCGGTCAGGCTCAAACAACAGCTGGGCGACCGAAAAGGACGAGGTGGCTAACCACAAAATGAGCTGGCCACCTCCAGGTTTACTATTCCTGCTCGATGTGTCACCCAGGCTGCTGCAGAATGATAGGCCCCAGCCCACCGTTGGTTGGCATGCTGGCTACCCCCTGCCCCCCATACCACTCCACACACACCTGGATGCAGGCTGGCATTCTTGGTTGGCACCTCCATGCTGGCATGCTGTCTATCCCCCCCCAGCATGCTCCCCTGGCTGGCAGCCCCTGATAGAACCTGCACGTTGATCACATTGTATCCAAGCTGTCACGCTGTTCTATGCATAATCATTTATTTATGTGTTATTGAACTTGTTTGTGTTCGGCAGATACTTTTGTTCTTAACAGTTAATCACTTTATAGCTCAGGGTTGAGTTAGTAATGTTGGCAATAAAAGAAATGCAAGTCTTTTCCTGTTAATGAGAAAGCTGCAGGCACTGGGCGCAATAACAGGAGCTGTAAAAGTCAGGTATTATTATCATTATGGTGCATGTTCTCAGGGAAACAAGTTTTTGATTATTATTATTTTTTTTTTTTTGGGAGGAAAGGGACTAAACGTTCCGAGAGATTATTTCATGAGAATTATTGCACTTGTGTGGTATGGTTGTTTTCATTTTATTTCCATTTGTCAGCTGATTCATTTTTGGGAATGCTCAGGGGATTAGAAATGACTCGAGTTTTTACAGTAGATAGGGGAATGTAGCATTTGTTCATTGAAGAGTACATGATAAATGTTTTGCTGATGACTGTATTGGTGCTGACAGCCTATAGCCTCCTATGTACCACTCCCCACCATTCAATTTATTTGATATGAATACAGTAAAAGAAAAGGCTAATTTAAAATCCCTTATTTTTACAAAATGGAATGTGCTTGCTTATTCCCAAGTTTGTATTATCATTTTAGAGTGCGTGTATATATTATTTATAAAGCACCAACAAATTCCGCAGCGCTGTACAATATATATCTATTTTCTTTCTGCACAATAAATATTTGCTTTTAGTTTAGGGTCAGGCTTGCAAAATTAGGGCTAAAATTTAAAATGTTCAACTCAGTTGTATTTAACTTTTTTTTTATATACCCTGCCTATTAAACAATAATATCCTTACATTGTTGTTGTTATGGTAGTGTGTGTACACAAAATATAAATGTTGTCCTTTTTTCTCACTATTGGATCTTATTTTAAAAAACATTCTATTGACTAATGATCCTCCCCTCCCCCCTTTTCTAATTTTATAGTTCAATTGTTTTGGATTTTTTTTTTTCTTTCAATATGTTCCATTGACTGTTTCTTGTGTGAGTATGTATCTCTAAATTTATCAAAATCTTCTTGAATAACAAACCATTCATTTGATAGGTTTTTAAATGTTCAGTTTTTTTGTTTTTTTTTATAGAAATACCAAGGACAAGAATGTATTCACTAAACCTGTAGTTGTAAAGAATTGACAACATAATTGCCAAAATAAAAACCTTTACTGTCTTTTCTGTTTTTGTTTTTTTTCCAAGCTCAACTAATATTTCCTTGTCAAATTTTTTTTTTTTTTTTGGAGAATATCCAATTTGAGAGTCTTGTGGCAATAGTGTGCACTGTGTAAGCGTATTTTGTGTCTGAACTGTAAATATTCTATTTCTCATTCAGACTAGATGTGAAATGGACAAGTACCTGACTCCTCATGCTCCACCTGTTAACACTATGCAAGAACAGAAGAAATACAGGAGAGACAGTGCCTCCGGTATTGACCAGTTCTTTAACGACAGTGATGGACTACCTTACAGCATAAATATGAATGTCTTCCTTCCGGACATCACTCACCTGAGAACAAACCTGTATAAAGCTCCAAGGCCTCATGTAACTCATATTAAGACAGAGCCTGTCACTGTATTTAACCAGCAAAGTGATTGTGCCGCATCCCAGCCTCTCCCAGAATTCACCAGCATTTTTAGTTCTCACCAGAATTCAGATCTACACAATATCTACATCAAGCAAGAGCTTCCATCGCCAGAACTTCAAATTCCAGTGAGCCCTCAGCATGGTCAGTTATATCAGCTGTTGAGCTCCCCTGATTTAGACATGTCTAGTTCTCCAAACCAGGCATCCGTAATAGACAGTATGAATAATGCTTCCATGTCAACCGATATGTCTGGTTTCAACACAATCCCCTCCTCTGTGCCACAGACTGTAATGAAGCCCTTTCATGGCATTCACCAGTGCTCATACAGCATGGCCAGTCAGTTCATGCAGCCACAAGAAGCCACCTACTTCCCTCCTTCACCACCCAGCTCTGAACCTGGCAGTCCAGATCGACAAGCTGAGCTCCTCCAGACAGCAAATCCTCCTCCTTCATATGCAGCTACAATAGCCTCCAAGATGGCAATCCACAACCCTACACTATCGGCGCCTGTATCCATGACATCCTCCGCTATTCAGCCTGTCCGCTACAATCGCAGAAATAATCCAGATTTGGAAAAAAGGCGAATCCACTACTGTGACTATCCTGGTAAGACATAACTGGTAGCCAATTTGATCCTATTATTTATCTATCTATCATGATTCCTACACAGCACACATACGCTGGCTTTAAATCTGTATCAACTAAGTAGTATATATATTGTTGTGCAACAATTAACTACACTTTTCATTTTTGTAGATATTTCTTAGTTGTTTTAAAAGGTTATTTTTACTTGGAGGCAATCCTAGGTGCATTTTACACCTTTCCGCCTAGCTTTGATGCCTTGGGGGCTAGAGGTCTGTTTAAATTGGCACAAACTCAGTACATACTCCTGTATTGTGCTCATATGGCTTAAACAAAATGCTGGGGAATTGACGTTGTACTGCATGTAGTAAAGCACTATAGAGGCCTATGTTGGCTAAGGCACAAACCATTCCACTCTCCCAAACACTGAAGAATCAAGTACAGTTTAAGATATAAACTTCCCTTGTCGTTTATGTGTAGGTGATTCGTGTTCACATGAAGCGTATTTTGATTTATGCCACCTGATGATGGGAAAAAAAAGTTATGCTAAAATTCATTTGTGTTTTTTTTGGTTTATATACAAGCTTGATAAAACGCTGTAAACTATTTTAATTATTGTTATGGTATCAACATTCTGTTTTAATAGCCACATCAAATGCATGTGATGTATATGTTATGGTATATTCTACACTTTTTTTCTGGTTAATATGCTTGGCCATGTGATATTCTGTTTAACCTTGGAAAAAGTTATAGTCGTCAAAATAGGAGTAGGTTATATATTGTTATGACTTGCATATAGTAGGATAAGAATGATTGCAGTGAAGTAAGTTTGGATGTAGAACTGCTTATTTGTAGATTCCCAAAGATGTTATGTTTTGATACTTGTGTCATTGACGGTTTCATTCAGTTTTCAACATGTACTTTAATAATGGATCCAGGCATCATAATAATCTGGTCCTTATGGACTCTTTTAGTGACATTTCCTGCCCTAGCAATCTTCTTTCTAGAAGAACTGATGTAAAAAGAAAAGCCATTCCATGTTGGCATAGTCTGTTGTGTTCAGAATATAATTATGGCCTGGAAAGTTGTTATCCTTAAGGGTTAATGTAAAACTAAGGCTTGGAAAGAATTCATTAGGTTCAGAGCGATGTTCTAGAATTGAATGAGACCTGAGATGATCTTTAAGAAGCAGAAAAGTTAAAATGGGCACATGCTTTGCTTTCTGCTGGGAAACCCAAATGAGTTTAGTTGTGTCCTAGAATGGTCAAGATACAATGGGAGATTAAATATCCTTTGCCTTACCCTTTGAGTACAAGAAAAGGAAGCGAGAGTACAAGAGTGCATGTAATGTGGATGATGGAATGCCATTTATTGTACTTTATGTTGCTTTGTGCATAAACAGAAGCTTCCAATGGGTCCAATAATTCTGGCTTAAATCCACTTAAGAATTATTATTATTATTATTATTATTTTTTATTTTATTTTTAGAACGACAAATTTAATCTTTAAAAGGAAGTCTAATACTGCATATAAAGCTTAGAATACCATGATGGTTAGTTAGGTTAGTAGTAGTTTGGTATTGTGTGCATATGTATTATTAATTAATTGACTAATACTTAAGTGTTTTTTTTTTTTAATGTAATTATTAACCCTTGGTGTGTGTGTGTGTGTGTATATTTATTAGTTTTTATATATAAATGTCTTTAAAGTTATAAACAGTTGAATTTGTACTAACCATGTCATCTTTTAAGTATGTGCTCCCCTTTTTCTTTCTTTTTAATTTTTTTTAAAGGGGGGAGGGGTGAAATAGTGTAACAATTCAATTCTGAACAGTGCTGTGGGGTTTATTTTTCCCTTCTGAAAACATGATAAAAATCCAATTGTATATATTTATTTTTTTGGGGGGGAGGAGGGGGAGGTGCAAACTCTTCATTAAAAGTATTTAAGAAAGAATAGAAAATGTATTCCCAGCAGATTTATCACTTGCATATTGCAGCAAATAGCAAAATAACGCTAAACTCTGGCACACTTTCTTCGTCTGGAATCTCTCCAGGTATTTTTAGAATGCAAGAATGTAGATGAATATGTACTGCTAGGAATAACTGTGATAAATAAGTCGGCTTAATAAGAATAAATATACATGGGCATCTGACAAAATACATCTGTTGCAACGTTGACAAAGCTTTCTGTTTTTAGGACGCTAGCCTTTTCTACACTGTGAGCGGAAGGAATGTTTTGCTGAGTGTGTATAAAATAATACTAAAAATATATATTTGTCTTTCACATTGGCTGAAATACAAATATATATTGAATTCAGTACATTCGATCGCAAGCTTCACTGGCAACAGGTTATATTTACAGGGGGGGATGGGGGAAGAAAGAAGTGACCATTTTAGCTTGTAACAGCCCTGCTTTCTTTTCCATTCCAGGATGCACAAAGGTATATACAAAGTCATCTCATTTAAAAGCTCACCTGAGAACACATACTGGTATGTGCATTTATTGTTCACTTGAATGCCTGTGTAAATATTATCCATACAAGTCTTGCCTTTTTGAAGTCTGTATGTTTTTCATCCTTAAATCACTCATTCATGGTTAATTTTGTCATGTGCTTTGTTCACCATTGCAGTTAAATTATATCACCTGGCATGTGGGGGTTTCTTTTGTTATAATTTTTGTAAATGTTTATTTTTTTATTTTTTTTTAATGACCACGTAAGCTGAGGACTATTCAGTGAAAGTATTCTTTATTTCTGCCTCTCTTCTTCAGCCGTAACAGATAATCTAAATGTCTCTACACAGCCAAACGATGCAGTCATCCTTTGTCATACCAAACTATACATGAAATTGCACTTTCAATTAATCATTCCTGACTGTTTGTTTCCTTTTCACATGCTATTTTATTTTAAATTGCGTTTGAACTACTTCGTACAAAAGGCCTCAAGTACATTGATTTACACATCAATCAGGAATTATTAGAACATCATCTCGTTGAGCAGCGATTGGGAGCATGTTGATGTCTTCTAAACATTATTAATAGTGGGTTCTACTTTGTCTGTTGTCAGTATATTAATGTAAGGTTGCAGGTTTAGTGGAGCACAATAAATTGACTAAGTGATCCTTGCGTGTAAAAAGTGCTGCTGGGGAGACAAGATGTGCAGTAATGGAGAATAATTCAAAATCTGGACCAGTGAAAACTATTGTATTGGTTTCCATGCGGATAGCTCCACTTTTTGAACCACACCACACCCCACTGTTATTTTTCTCCTTTATAACCTTAACGTATTTGAACTGTTATACTCTGCCTCCCCTGACTATTTAAGCTACCCTCTTTTGATGTAACCTGGACTATATATATTCCTGCAAGTGCGCTTGTGTATTCCCCTTTTCCCATTTCACTTGGCCATTTTATCTGTTAGTGATTGGGTAGGATTGCACCTTTCTAATTGGTAGTCCAGGTAACCTTCGGCACTCCAGATCCTGTGGACTACATCTCCCATGATGCTTTACCAGCATACCAGAGTGCCGAACATTGCCTTCCCCTGAGGTAGCCCATTTCCCTCTTCTCTCCAATGATGTATTATGTTGCGCTAAAATGCACGGCTCCTTTAAGACCGAAGCCTATGTTAACCAGTTTAACTACCATGTTTACAGCCATTGGACTCCTAAATTATTGCTGTCTCATTAAGACAGGTGTGTTGGGAAATGTACATTACCCTTCAGGGGAACTTCCTTTTTCGAATGAGCAAAGTCTACACGTGCAGGGTTTGCTGTAAAGCATGGCCAATATTCCTCCAGACAGTGTGCATTTTCATGTCACAGAAATAGCTACACAGCCCTGTTTTCAAAAAAGCTCTTGCAAACCAAAGGTATGGTATTTATCAAGTCTAAATATGTCTAAGCAGCCCTCAAGGGTGTTTGTTCACTACACAGCCCAACATAAATTTCAAATACCCTAGGACAACCTTTATTAACCTTGCACTGTATATTTTTACCAAAATCTATCCATGTTTTCTATAGTCTGTCTCCGTATTTATAAGCAAACAAACTTAAACTATTTAGAAGTTTGTTTATTAACAACAGACTTGCAAAAGCTTGTTTAACCCCTTAAGGACACATGTGTGACATGTCATGATTCCCTTTTACTCCAGAAGTTTGGTCCTTAAGGGGTTAAACTGACAGTTTGGGAAAAACCAACTTCAGCTTAGTCAAGATGGAAACTGTATAATATTTGGCCTATATGTGTGTGTGTTTTTTATATATATATTTATTATTTATATATATTTTTACTTACCTTCTCCCTCCCCCCTATAATTACCAGTAATGCTGATATAATTAATAAATCTATTTCTGTCATGTCATAGAACTTTGTACCACCTGAAAATTGTTGTGGAAAACTTTATTTTAATGCTTTTTATGTCTGTCTGTGTGCGTGTATAATAACTTTAGCTACTAGAACAGTAGAATTTGTGCAGATCTCCCGTGTATGACTCCAGTAATGCTTCAGCAGTTTGTGCATTACTTTGTGTTTTAGTCCTTTTTCTATAATAATTTACCCTGTCCTGGCTCTTATCTACTCGCCCTTAGATAAGGATCCTTGTGCATTAATGTGCTGAGATGTATCAGTCCCCACTTTAAGGTAATGGCGTTCCCATTGTTCTGTTTTGGCTCCAGGAAATGTAACCCATCATCCATTTGGAAATCTGTCTTACTATTGCTATGGAAGCAAGGTCTTGTTTTAAGCAGTTAATTCAAATTAATTGTTTTTGTGTAAAGAAACTCTTTGAGAGCTAAAGGTTACTATGGAAATCCTAGCTTTGATAAATGAAGCAGTTATCTTTAACAGCCACTGTAAAAAAATAAAAGCAGTAGAACAAAGGTCTGTTTTGCAGACTGTTACCAGTTACTATGCTAAACAAATCTGTTCCACCAATATGTGTTTTTCATAATCCTAGCTTAAACATATTGCTGTAGTGCCCCAACACCGAAACTGAGTCACTTCTTTATCTGTTAACCTTGGCTCAGTGATGATCATGGCTAATTTATGGGATTATGCCTATTATAAAGCATATTTTGCATGTAGCCACTTGAATGGTTTCAGTGTGCCATTGTGTGTAACTGGCAGGTTAGATTTCATACTTGACTAAACGAGCCAGGTCCTAGAGCCTAGTTAGAATTACGGAGCATGTTACCTGTAGCAAAAAAAATAATAAAATAAAAAAAATATAAATAATATCCCTCTCCGACTACATCTCCCATGTTGATGCTTTGACATTTGTAAAGTATAGGATCTACATTTTTTCCTACCCTCTCTGTAGATAAGCCTTTTCAATGTCTTTACCCTATATACCAGGCTTCCCCAAACTCTGGCCCTATAGACGTTTCTGAACTACAACTCCCATGATTCTCAGCCTATTTCATTCATAGAATCATGGGAGTTGTAGTTCAGCAACATCTGGAGGGCCGGAGTTTGGGGACGCCTGCTCTATGGATTAGAGTATTTCTAGATTAGAGAATTCTAGAAATCTCTGCTAGACTAAATCTAGGCAAAAATGATATCATTGTTATTAAAGGCATATTCTAAGCATCGTAACCGCTATAGTTGTGCTGGTGTTTAGTGTTCCTTAAGTTAAGCAGATGAAGGTCTGAAGCCAGACTTCCCTAGTAAAGAATCGAATAGCATAGTTGGCCATAACACCTCTCTGAGCGTGACCTTTCTTTTAGTATTGAGCTAAGCTGTGAAAAAGTAATGGATATCCTTTGCTAAAGTTGAATTATTTATGCAACACATATTGTTCCCAACCTCTACTCTAATTAACTTTTAACAAGTTTAAGTTTCATTAATCAAGCTATACTACACCTGCAGGACTCTAATCTGATATTCTCTAGGGTTCTGTGTTTATTTTCCACTAGTGTGTAACCAATCAATGATTGTATTAAGGGGCCATAAGTAACTGATCTTACAGTGTATCTATGCATTCTGTTTGCTTCTACAACAATTAGATTTTTTTTTTTAAATCTTTTTAATCTTTAAAATGCCATTATTAAACTAAGTTTTCTTCAAAGTAAATCCTAAATTAATAAGATAGTACCATGCAATGCAATTTAGCAGAGATTTGTTTAATATTCTCAAAAGAAAAAAGCCTTGGGGTATTCAGCAGTCCTGTTTATCTGGCCAAACTTGTTCTTTAGTAATCACATACTATTCAAACTGCTTTTTCCTTCTAATCTTCACTTCTTGACAAAAGCTTTAAATCGCCTGTGAATGATAACCTTGCTTTGCAATCTGTCATTTTACATAAAATAAAAAGCTTGGAGCAAAGTTTGTCTGCTGTACCGAGTCAAAACACTTTTAGAATTTCTTTTGTATCAAAACCCCTTCGTCTTTTTTATATATTTATTCAACCTTGTTGGTCCTTTCAATCAGTTTGAATACCTTCTAATAGATTTTTGTCTCAGAACAAACACAGACAAGGTTTAATGTTCATTAGTGGGAGAATCTCTGCCCTGTTAGTGTTGGGATTTAAATCAAAACAGAGCTGGGCAGTTTCTTGGCAAATTGTCTTTACATTTTTTTTTTTTATTTAAAATTGTTAGCAAACTCTTCCTGTAAACTTAATAAAATTATAAACTTTCAGGACATTAAAAAAATGTACAAGCAATATTTACCCTAATGACCCATAATTTTCTTACTGATCTTAATTAAGATCTAAGTTGTTAAGCCTTTCTTTGCACCTTTTAGCCTCACAACTATATAATTTAATTTGAAGAAGCCTGTCAATTCAGTTGGCCTATGGTTTAAAGAACACGTTCTGTGAAATATTTACTGTAGATATCGTACCCCTACTTTTACCCTTTGTGTCACTATACCCAACTCCCTCTAGAATGTAAGCTCACTGAGCAGGGCCCTCCACCCCTCTGTTCCTGTACGTCCAGTTGTCTGTTAGTCCACCTATTGTACAGCGCTACGGAATCTGATGGCGCTATATAAATAATACTAGCAATTAGTTGTAACATCATTTTAATATTAAGGCAACAAAAAAGTTCACCAGGCAATCAGTGTCCAAAGCCACAGGCAGATTTAATGGAACAAAAAAGAGCAGCAACGTTTCGACCTACTACGAGGTCTTTTTCAAGTAAAAAAAAAAAAAAAAAAGCTTGAGGGTTTAACTTCCTATGTTGCTGTAGTCTATGGTCATCATTTTGTTTCTGGAGTGTTTCATTCCTCTCCTGCATCCACTTGCAGTGGGAGTGGTTTCATTCTGTCAGCTCTGTTTCCAATAATGTAACACCATGAGGATAACCTGGAAGATTGGCAAGACTGTTGCGGCAACATCTGAATGTTTGAACACATGATTTTTGTATATTACTGTATTGGGAATGTATGGAAAATAGTGGTCTGTGTTCCTATCTTCACTATACATGAAACAACACTTATCTATATTGCAGTGAATGCGCAATATAAGACTTAATGCAGTGTAGCCTGCATTTTTTTTTTTTATTCCCCCTCTCATTACTTCTAAGCCTCATTGGGGCACTACCTTTTCAAAATACAGAACGTTATCAATTAGTTAAGTGAGATATGTGGATATTGACCTCTTGAGACTATGTTGGAAATAAATAAAAAAATCTATATTTATATATTAGTGTGTGTGTGTGTGTGGTTTTTTTTTTTTTTTTTTTAGCAATCCTATTATATGTTCAATACATCTGAATGGACTCTGGTACCAAGGAACTATTATTTAAGTATTTACTAAACTGAAAGTGTATTTGCTGTAGTCAGAGCTCTCTGTTCACATTTTAAAAACATAAAAAACTGGAACTGTTTTCAAGTAGAGTGAGGTATGATATTCCTGGCTTGAATAGAGAAGGCTGGCATGTACAATTTGGCTACAAGTTGGTACCAGTTTCCTCATGGTGTTTTTACTTGAACAGTGCTGACATTTTAACAAATCCCGTAGAAGTTCTTCTCAAGTGGAGGAGTAGCTCCGTTTAAATTAACAGGAAAATAGCTGTTTTGATTCAGTCATCATGTTCCAGTAACTGAGCTAAAACACGTTACTCTTTATAGAATAGTATTTTGATTTAACACTGTAGGCATTTTACAAAAAAAAAAAATTAGAATTTGTTGGCATTGAATCAAAAGCTTCTTGAACATGGTGTGAACCATGCCCAAATCAAAAAAGTAAACTAGCTGAATGTATGTATATAATATGTTTTATAAAACAGGCTTAAAATATCTAGTCCTGTGTGATTATCCATGTCTTAAAAGTTACTTGCCACTGCAAACCATAATGCTCTGTGGCATATACAATAGAGGTAAACAAAAGCCTGTTGAGTTTTTTTTGTTTGTTGTTTATTTTTTCTTCTCTCTAATGTTGTCTATCATTCTAAGACGGTATTCAGAACTTACACTCCTGGGTTTATACATTTTAAAGACTTGTCCTGATTTTATTTGTTTAGGAGTCCGGTAAGAACTTTTAGTCTTCTTCATCTTTTCTATTAAAAAAAAAAAAAAAAAAAGAAGTTGTGACGTTCGCCTGGGAATTGTCCAGCTTGGTTTGAGAGTAATTTTTAAATACATTGTAATGTTGCTAATCAACTGTATTAACGGGACTAATAAACATTGAAGCCTCTCAGTGAATCACATTGATAACACTAGGTGATTATCCTATTCTCTTCTAGCAAATTGGTTTGTGAATTTTTAGATGGCTGGATAATTTTGCTGTGAGTTCAGACCATTTATTTTTGCAGTGTGAAGTTTTAGACGATTAGGCAAAGTACCTGTCAAGAAATGTTTTCTAGTTTTGGAAAATTTTGCATAATGCCACATTTGTTACTGCTAAAAGGAAGAAAGTACATCTTCAATTCTAAATAAAGCTGTAATAGGATAAATATTAATAAGGGGATATTTAAAGGATGGGTGTGTATATATAGAGACCTACAAGTGTTAAAAGTGATCTGCACTTAATAGGCTTTACCTAAAATAGTGAAACTTTATCTACAAATGCAAGAGAGCTCTGCAACTCATTAAAAGTGCAATCCAATACTAGAGGCTTTTTTTTTTTTTTCTTCTTCTTTGGGGGGTGGAGGGGGTGCAATATGGGGTGGCTTTGATCTATAGGGAAACCAATCTGTTCATTGATTCCATAATTGGTCTAAATGTTCATTAAGCACTTTTGGGATGAGATGTTATTGTAATTTACATTCTTAATTTGTATAATTAAGTTCTGGTATGTAATTAAGGCATTGGCAATGTTTGTTCTCATTTAGATCAACCATTGTGAAAAATTATTAAAATAAGCCTTGGGCAGTCTAGAACATCATATTTCTACATGAACGTAGCTGGGTTAATGTGAAGGATTATTGGATTTCATCAATTTATTATTGACAGGAGGGCACGGCTTGGGTATGATGTAATGACAGCACAGTCTTAGTGTAGTCTATTATGTTTGTGCTTGTGTATGTATATCTCTTCCTCCATCGCATCAGTAGACTAACTTGAAAACCATGATTATTTTGTTTGTATTCTTTATTTTTGTATTATTATTAAGACATGATAAATATCAAGCTGCACAGTACTGAATATGTTGACATACTGATTAAAATTATATTGTCAACTCAATAGTGTTCATCAACTATCTGTAAATATACCCTGTACCATTGCCTGTTAAACAAAATATATATAATTTATTTTTTATGCTGTACAACACTAACCAATTTTGTAAATTGTTTAATTGCAGGAGAGAAGCCATACAAGTGCACTTGGGAAGGTTGTGACTGGAGATTTGCTCGCTCAGATGAACTGACCCGTCACTACAGAAAGCACACAGGAGCTAAACCCTTTCAATGTGCTGTGTGCAACCGCAGCTTCTCTCGCTCTGACCACTTAGCCCTGCACATGAAAAGGCATCAGAACTAACATGGACTATTGCAGAGACTTTTATTCTATGCAATTCCCAAACCCCACCCCTAACTGCCTTACCTGAAATATACTACAGATAGGAATGACCAGTAGGGTAATTGCTGCCATAAGACTTTTTTTACATTTTTATTTTATTTTATTTTTTTAAATACCTGTTTTGCTGACTTCAGAAAAACTGGAAATTCAAATACATATTGCTTCTTTATATTTAGAAGGAAACTGGAATGATTTTGAGTTATACAATGACTACACATTCAGATAACCTTTTCATTAATGGTTGTGTTTTGTGTGTGCAAATTTAGGCCAAATTATATATTCCGCTTCAGGTAGACGTTCAAAATACAAGATTATAAATGCACGGAGAGTTCAGTAGCGCATGCAAAAGAATGTGTCTCTAAAAGGAGCTTTTGGACCACATGGGAGACGACTCCACATAACTGAATGGCTAAACACCCGAGCACTGGGTGATGTTAAACATATTCTTGCTATCTACAGTAGTAATGATTTTGCAGTTCAAATGCAGAGAATGTGGCATGGTGGGAACCAAAAATCTCCAACAATTGGAGATTTATTTTTTTTAAATTCTTTTTTAAATTCTTTTTTTGGCCCAAACTTTGCAATTTGGTTGTCAACACAGTGTTTTTAATGGATGTCCCAGTTGGTAGTTTTTATCTTCATACAAGGTATTTACATCTCAACACACACAAAGCTATTAAAGTTTTGTAGTATTGTTTTGACCAAAGCACTGTCTTTAGTATCAGTGTTTAGTAAATGAAATGAGGTCACAGATGACTGCACGCAAAGGACAAGCCATACTTTCTTAACCCTAAAGTGACAAGCTAACCTCAATACTTGATCCTACATGTACATTTTTTTAAACTATTTATTTATCGAACATTACAGCCACTGAACAATATCACAAATATTATTACACATGCTCAACATAAATAATGTTTTAATATATTTATATTCTCAATTGATTTCATTAAAAAAAATTCTAGTGCAATTCAAATGATTCCAAAGAACCTTTTTTTAATTTTTTTATTTTTTTTATTCGTTAAAAATAAGCTAAGATATAATTGTTGAGAGAAACCATTCTGTCATTATTTTTTTCCTTCCATCCTAGCAGTCATGAAATGTTTATCCATTGTTTGAGATATGTTAGGTTAAAGTTGGGATAAATCCTTGTTATGTAAGGATTATGTACTTTTATAAATGAATACAGTGAACTATATTGGCCGGTCTAGTATATCATCGTTTAAAGGACCACTATTGTGCCAGGAAAACATACTCGTTTTCCTGGCTCTATAGGGTCCTTGGGTCCCCCTCACCCTCATGGCCCCCGTCCTGCCGGGCTCTAGGGTGAGGAAGGGGTTAATCCTTTACCTTTTTTTCAGCGCCAGGCTCCCTTAACCCTATTGTAAACATAGCGGTTTCTCTGAAACTGCTGTTTACAGCAGAAAGCGTTAATCATAGATGGACCTGGCACCCAGACCACTTCAGTAAGCTGAAGTGGTCTGGGTGCCTATAGTGGTCCTTTAAGCGCATCATAGGAAATATTAGTGTCCAATGGAACAGTTGTCCTGTTGGACATATGACGAGTGCAGCTGATCAGTCTGTAAAATGCATGTTAATAGACTAATAGAGTTAATCACATGGTGAGTTTAGTATGTCTGCTATCACCGATTAACTTGCTCAATCTGCTGGATATCACTAGCCAATTTTTGCAGAATTGCTCAAACACCTAAAATATTATTTTTTACCTATATTGTTTAATACAAATCATCCCTTTTAAACAAATGTCAAAATATGTTGGTGCTTCATAAATATTATGAATCACTTAAGCTCTAGTTGGCACCTTACAAACAAGTAAATATTTTGGCCATTTCACATTATGAGCTATGGAAAAATAAAATCTAAATCTTAGTTCATTTCTTTTACTAAAAGGATTACAATATCTGGCACTGAAAACTGTAGATGTACCCTCCTACAGCCTGGATTTGCTATTTGGTTCTCTAAAGCATCAAGGCTGTGCTATGTGTTTAATAGACTAGTAAACATTTGTGGGGTTTATTTGTGTTTTTGCAATATACTGCACTGATAGTGTGCTAGATTTTGTTTTTTTATTGTAATATTTTGTGTGCAGCAGAATAACCAATAATTATATAAAACTATTTCAAATTTTTTTTTTTATTCCAGTTTTATATTAATGGACACAGTAATTTTTATAAGTTACTATGCAGTTACTACACACATATTGTAATTATCTTGCATACAAAACATAGAAGTAAGAAAACATTTTGATGAAGGTTTGATGCACCAGGAAACTTGACATACCCTTGAGTTTTTACAAAGTTAAAAAAAATATCTCTCAAATATAAAGAGGGTCTTAGAGCTTTTTATTATACTGTTTTTTCTTGTCTATTTATTTCATGGTACAAGGTACTTTTTTTTTTTTTTTTTTAAAGCTACATTTTGATAAATTAACATTGTTCTTACACGAGTTTACTTTTAAAGCCTGTAAATACATTTAAAATGTAAATAATTTTGTAAAAGCTTTTAACTGTGTTTATATAAAGAGATGTGCACTTTTTGTTTTTGGTTGCTTTTTTTTTTTTTTTCTTGTATTTTTGTATTGTACCATTTCTGAGTGGGTGCTAACCACTCTGTTTTAAATAAGAAATGAATTATGTTTATATGAAAGGACATTGAGAAAAATAAACCTAAGTGCCTAAAATAAGTTTCCTGTTATGTTTTTATTTCTGGATCTGTAAAAGCTCTTTGTGTATTTTTAATTTGCTTCCTCCATTACAATTCATGTATTTTGGATTGATAATTTGCTTCCCTGCAACTTGACATATTTAAAGGGACATTACCATGATGTTTCTTTCTACTATTGACGTTAAAGGGACATTAAGTCCATGTACCTGTAAATGCTGCAGCTGGCTCACCTCTTCCTGACCAGGCAAATTCTCCTTCTTTCTGATCTTATTCCGTAATAATGGATAGACTATTCAGCTACTGTTCCACTCATGATGAGTGAAACTAGTCATTAAGCTGTTAGTAGCCACACTTGTAATCTGCGTATTCAAACTTCTTTTAAATAACTGGGCTGCATGCAGTTACATTTTAAACCATATGTGGAAGGGTTACTCCAAACACCATTACCTCTTCGGTGATTTGAAGCGGTCATGGTGGTGGGAGTCTGTTTGTGCAGTCTTTCTGCAAGTTATTTATGTGTGCTGGGTCTAGTTGCACTACCAGCACACATGATATTGGCAGTCCAGAACTTTGTCTCGGACTGTCTAATGCCAGTTTTGTCCATAGTTTATGTCTGTCGTTTGGCGCACTGCAGCCTACCAGCAGATGTAGTAATATTATGTCTCTTGCTCTCTCTTAAAGGGCAGCACTCTACTCTCTCCTCCAGCTCCGCTTCACTCCCACCTTATCTGATTGCTATTTCCTGTCCTAATGTGTTGTATACCCCACCTCCTATAGACTGTAAGCTCGTCTGAGCAGGGTCCTCTTCAACCTTTCGTTTCTGTAACTTTTCTTGTAATTGTCCTATTTATAGTTAAATCCCCCCTCTAATAATATTGTAAAGCGCTACGGAATCTGTTGGCGCTATATAAATGGCGATAATAATCTCTGCCTGCAAGGGGAAGAGAGCTATCCACTGCCTCCCACTTTCCTTCCCCTTCTTCCTCCTCTTTCCAGCTCAGGTTAGATTGCATGAATTTGCTATGAGCTGGCAATAAGTTTGTGTTTGTGTGTGCGCGCGCAGTTGGAGGGGAGGCAGACCTAATTTGTAGGGCCAGATAGGCCATATACACAGAATAGGGTTAACCCTCCAAAGGGTTGGAGTAACCCTTTACACTGTAGTGGTTTTGGTATGGAGTGCTCCTTTTAAGATTGTTTCCCATTTAGTAAATGGTGAGTTCATATACAGTTAGTGTATAGTGAAAAGTTTGAGCATGCAACCAGATTTGTTTTCTTAAAGTTGACTTTTTTTAGTTTATTTTTTGTAGTTTTATTTGTCAAAACTACATGAAGTTGACATGTTTGCAAATAAACGAGAAAACTAGATTTCTAAATCAGCACTAAAAGAACGCACAACCATGTTTTTGTCACTGCTGCATCATAACGACAGCACCCCAATAGTCACGATTTTGAGGTTCTATCCTACCATCCCGATTTAGTTCCTTTGGAGTCCCGCATCCTGAGACATCAGGGATCTGCACAGAGTGAGCGCATCATTAGATATGTGAGCGCTGTGAACAGACACACAGCACTCTCTGCAAACTGGGCCTGGCCAGACAGGCCTCTTCAGCGGTTGGAGCAGCCTATTATGGCCTTCACCAGTGCCATGAGTCGTATCACTCGCAATACTCCTTCCCAGGCCTGCCCACCCTTCCCAATCTGCATGCATTAGGTGTTAGAAGGGAATGTGAATTTAATTTATATGTGCATTGTGCACCAATGTGGTTTAAATAGGATATCTTACAAGTTGAAATGCTTAGGAGTATGTTGCTTACATAAAATGCAGAAACAGATGAAGATGCTAGTGAGTTAGTGAAGACTGAATAATATAGAGTGTTGCTTTCTCTCCCTCTCTGTATGTCAGTGTATTAGAGTATGAAGCCATGACTGTGCTTAGATATGTGTTTGTATGACACAGCTGATGCATGACTGTGTGTGACTGTGGGCCCCTTGGAAAGGCAGTGTATTTCATGAAACACTTGTTTGCAAACTTGTTGAGTGTCTAGGGCTCATGTGTTTGAAGAATTCCTCACCCCCTATTTTCTTTTCCCCTCTTCCAGCTGGTTCCTTATTGTTCTTTGATATGACCTAATTACATTCTAAAATTAGTGACCTAACGTGTGAGAACACATGTTGTACTTGGTTATGTATTTGTATGATATCACTTTGCAAATAAAGTATTTTAATGTAACAAAATAAGTGTGTTAATTTTCTTTATCAGAACTGGTAACACTTTAAATAAACCAGCACAGTCAGACAATTGCTGTTAAAGTATTGCTTAGAACTCAAGATCCAGTTGTTGACACTATATAAATAATTGTAAAGTGAATTCAAATTTTCCTCACTGCTGCCTTAATGAATAACTAACTCCATGACAAAAACATGACTTCAGTATTTATCTCCTGCTTTCTTACTTCATGTTTTTAAATATATAAATACAGATAAAAGTTTGAATAAATGCACTTAAAATTCATTGCCGTTGGCTGCTTGGTCCAAAACCCTAGACCTATTTAATATTAAATTAAACAGATTTTTGTTTGTGTGTGTGTGTGTTGACCTAGTGTTGATTTATTTTATTAGTGACGTAAGAATATTTATCTGGTACAAAAGCCTCTTGTGGAAAATACCCAAAATAACAGAATTTTAAAAAGCGCACCTTGTTCAGCTAAAAAAAGAATGCAGTGTATCCAGAGATATCTATTTGCTAACCATGGAGTTGCTGGTGATTATAGCAAGATTTGGATAAAATAATTGACTTTGAAGTTTTTCCCTACACAACTATATTACCAACTTTGCTTAGAGTTTGCTAATTTTACTTTAGTTCCCTGAAAATCAGTGTCCAGTGAGCAAGTCCATTTGAATCATTTTCAGCAGAAACTAGTTCAAAACATTATTTGTAATACTATACAGCTGGAATTTGGAAATATTCTATTTGCTTGTAATTTTAAAATCTTGTCATTAAAAAAAAATAAGAATGGTAAAAAATGTTTTTTGGTTTTTATTTTAAATCTGGTATCTATCTATCTATCTATCTATCTATCTATCTATCTATCTATCTATCTATCTATCTCTCTCTCTATATATATATCTCTCTATCTATCTATCTATCTCTCTCTCTTATCTCTCTCTCTCTATTATCTCTCTATCTATCTCTATCTATCTATCTCTCTCTCTCTCTATCTATCTAATTCTGTCGACAGTGTTATTTCCTTGAGCTTTATATTTGGGTCATGACTTGTTTATCAATATTGGTTAGTAGGTCACTTTAATCTGGGTAAACTGGATTTTTACATTTTTTTTTTACACATATACTTGCTCAAAAATGTACTACAGCTGATAGCTGGAAGAGCAATCTATTGATACTAGGTTATTTCCTGTTACTTCTTATTCTTTAACCTTTGCTCAATGCATGTCTCTTTCACTGGCATCCTCTCAAATGTGCCTGGTAATTTGTAATTTAGTCCTTGCTTTTTATTTTACATTATTTATCAGTACAAATAAGGATAATATTTCTTCTTTTCTCTGGGAGTGAAATAAATGTAGGACATTGGATGTTACTGGGCAAAAAGAAACAACATAAAAAAAAAAGTTAGACAACATAAATCAGAATAACAAACTGAGAGGCATAAAGGGTTATTTACTAATGTGAGAATTCAAAGTGAATTCAAAGCACATTTTACATTTCAGGCCAAAGTAGCTGAACTGGAAGAACATATGACTTAGAGATTTTTTCAATGGGACTATTTTTACCATAAATTAGAAATCTAATTTGTATTGAATTCTCACTTTAGTTAATAACCCTGGTAGAACTTGTGCTGCAACAGCCAGGGATCTACCTTTTGGCATTCCTTGAACTATAATCAGTTCTACGTTTATGCAGAGAACCGAAAAAGGCAGTATTTTATATTATGTACATCTGTAACAGCTCCACTTATTGTCCATTCTGACAAATATGCTCATTATATATGACTGATGATTGATAGGTAGATGACTGATGTAGCAACTCAAATACAAACTTCACACAGTTGGTATGTGCAATGCTGACTTTGGAAATCACAGACATGGTACATTCTCATAAGTGATGGAAACCCAATGTGACAGTATGCTAACAAGCCATTCCAAAGCATGTACATGAAGCTCACTAGCAATACATGCAGGCAGAATGTATGTGTTTATGACCTTTAAAATAACTGTTTCTTTACAACATTAGAAATTTCTGTCCTCCATTAGATAATACACCTCTCCCCCTATTAAAGTAACATAATAAGTTAAACTCACTTTTTATTAAGTTGGCATTATAGTTTCACTATGACAAGAGCTCCTCCTCTTTGAAACTGATCTTCTTTCATGAGCCCTTGGAGCCCTAGAGCAGATGGATTGAAATCACTGCAGTCCGCCAGTCAGATGCATCTTATAGAGAACCATTAAATCCAATGCTTCTCTCCAAGAAGAGTTTACAGCGTTTAGCAACATCATACGTGAAAACTTATAGTGTTTCGAAGTCTTCAATGAGGAAGCACCACTAGTGGCTGTCTGATTGATACTAGAGACATTCTGAGACACATGCAAAGATTGTCATATTTCACATACCACATTGTTTCCATTTGTTTACAAGTACTGGGACAGGGCCTTGGCACAAAAATAAGTAAATTAAAGGAAGGAACACTCCAAGTACAATAACCACTACAGCAAGCTGTACTGGTTATTGTGCCAGGGCTACCATGGCACCCATCTCCTCTTCATTGTAGTCAAACCACATTGTAGAGCTTAGCTCATGAGAGTTAATGGATGTTCCGGTTCCCTCTCGCCGACATTGGCAGTGGAGGCTCCTGCAATAACTCAGGTATGGAGTCAAAACCGGTTTGACTCCTTAAAACTCCAAGGCACTCCTGTAACCATAACTACTGCATCAAGCTTTAATGGTACTTGGGGTATTACTTTAACGTTCAGAAAAAAACATTTAGTCTAACATAAGTATGAACAATAGCTTTATCCATTCATTGTTCCAGAACTATATATTTGCATCTTTATCAGTCAGTCTTCTCTAAATCACTTTTAGTTGTGCAGAAGGTAATACACATCAGCTTTTGAATAACAAATTATCAACAGTATCAGCTAGCCTTGTCCTGCTATTGTTTTGTTTGAATGTGTATATTTAAGACTGATCACATATCTCTTGTGATGGACTTAGGAGATAATAAGAGACTGGCAATCAGACATGTTAGTTCTAAAAATAGAACATTCAATAACACAGGATTTACTTAACTATGTAATTATGATACAGGAAGTTACTGTAACTAATGGATAAGGTTGTGTTTAATACATAAATTTAATTATAAACAACGGTAAAAAAATGTTTATTTGAAGAGTAGATTATCACCCATCATTTCAACTGAAATTCAGGTTTTTACATATTAAATGGCTTAACTCTGCTTCAACTAGGTGATTTGTACTGATAGAAAAGAGATTTTACATATGAAAAAGCACATACTTGTTAATCAAGACCACTTCTGGATTCTCTGTGGATTGCTGTACGTAAAATGATAAGAGAATTAGACAATACGAGCATAGTTACTAAAGCAGGCGTTTATCATGGTATGAGATCGATATCACAAAATAAGATGTTCCTTTCATTAGATACATGCATACATATAGTCCTTGATATTTATCTCCTGCAAGGTGGACATAACATACAAAGGGGGAAAATGATTGTACTTTGAGCCACAGAATGCCATTGCATACATCCCTTTTCATGGTACTTTCCATTTTAGGAGTGAAGCAGTTGGGATATTTAATTGTGTGTGTTTGTGCAGGATTACTAAAGAATACATTTTTACAAAAGTGCATTAATTTCGTTCCACATAGAATTTCATGCAGATTTGGAAGTGGAATTTTGTTTTAAGTATCTACTATCCTTTTTATACCACTATTAAGCTTTACCATATTCTTTGGAAGGAATAGGAATTATGGCATCCAATTTTCCCATTTTGTTTTGTTCTGAATCAATAATTAATCGAAATACAGAAATGAACGATTTGGGACAAAACAAGATGAAACTCATTTTTATTCTTTTTTTCAGGAAGGCCAAATTTCGTCCATATGTAGGTTCAGCTGGGCAGAATTTCCATACTGAAGACTTGATTCGGAAACATAAGGCAAACCAAAAAAGTGCCAAAAATGGACCAATCGATGTATTGCTAAATAAATGTATGATATAATAATATATATATATTTTGCAGTATTTTCCTACCATTTAGTTCACCAATTAAGTGAGAAAAAGTAACTAATAGAGGGGAAAACAGAAAGGTTCATTTGATTCAGGTGCATTTCAGCTTGGAGTTTTGGAATTCAAACGGTTACCCAATCGGCCCAAATTCAGAACAATTGCAGTTCAGACCAAAGTAACCATGAGTAATCACAGGCATTCCTGATTTTATTGATACTTGGTAAGATCATCATGCATGATCTCCATTTTAACATCTCTATGCTTTAGAATATTGCAAACTCTCTTAATTTGGATGTCATTTTATTCTCTTGCTGTTTCAAATGTGATATGCTGCATGTACTCTGATCTGTGACCACACACAGGCCTGGATTTGCATATCATGTACTATTTGTAATCAGGGTGTTTGGAATAATTGAGTTTAGGGTTACTTTTAGCATTTGGTAAATTATATCTATAATTTTTTGAGAGTGAAACCTAGGATTAAGGTAGAGTATTTTTTCCTCAGAGTTAGAGATTGAGTACATTATTTGGTGGTGGTGGTAGGGGGGGAGGGGGAGTGTTATTTCGGTTTGTGGGATTAAATTTAGGGTTAGAGAAAAGTGTGTTTAAGCATTGTAAGGCATGTGGAGTTGAAGGGTTGTTTGCAAAGTACTCTCCTTCCTAAGTCTTCTTTAGTCTAGTCAGCCTCCTATAATTGTTTATTAAGGTGTACAGCTGTGTACTGTGTCCGTTATTCAATGGTGTCACTGCAAGACATTTCCTGTTTGAGAGGCTGGTAGTGAGCAAAAGGGAAATGATTCCTTACACATATTGACCAGTCTCACACACAGACACTGGAGAAACTGGAACAGAATAGAGTTTTACTACTTCTACAACTTAACTATCAATCATGGGAGGTTGACTGGACAACAGAGGACACTGGCAAAGAACACAGCTCCTCACCATCCCAGTTAAGTTCCAAAATGTCAGATTATATGTGCTGGAAACAGATACTCCCTAGGCAAGTGTATACTCTGCCTCATGGGAAATCTGTCCCTGACTGGACAATGTACACCATGAGACAATGTCAGGACCACTAAAGTAGGCGAGCTCCTGTAAAAGATGGAAAGATAGAAAAACATATTATTTATCCTTAGAGATGGTCAGACTTAAAGGAACATGAACATGGAATAAAAACAATGCAAACCTGTAAACGAAAAATCTGAATATTCACACTAGCCAAGCTCAAAATCACTTGCCAAAAGACATTAACAAACATCCACAAGATGCAAGAAAAGACAAGAAATAGCATATTTTTCTCTTGTGTTTCTACAGATGTGACATGGAATATGCTTCATATGCTGTTCTAATAATAATAATAATAATAATAATAATAATAATAATAATAACAAAGTATTTAACCAGGAAAGGTCCTGAGGATGTTACCTTAGCCCAACATCCAGGGGTTGTTACTATATCATTATCTCTGATACAGCATGTATATGTTAAATAGATGGTGCTTGGTTCCATAAAGCATTACACGTAAGAACCCTTTTCTGCAGTGAAGAAGTGTGATTTACTGTATATTCAAATCTATTCAGTTTAACCACTAGCATATTGTACAATTCTTTTTGAATTGGTCATTTTGAAATGTAGTCTTAAATGTTTATCGTTTAATTAAATCAATTCAGTTTTCAGATAATGACTT